ATATCTGTTGAATAAATAACTTGCTTGTGAAAAGAGGCAGGAGCTCTCAAACTACACTGATGGGAAATCCAGTTATGAGGTTACACTGGTCATTAGTCAGTTTTCCACCCCTGCAAAACAAAAATCCAGGTCATGGACAGAAACCTTCCTTCCTTCCTTCCTTCCTTCCTTCCTTCCTTCCTTCCTTCCTTCCTTCCTTCCTCCCTCCCTCCCTCCCTCCCTCCCTCCCTCCCTTCCTTCCTTCCTTCCTTCCTCCCTCCCTCCCTTTCTCTCTCTCCTTCCTTCGTTCCTTCCTTCCTTCTTCCTTCCTCCCTCCCTCCTTTTCTCTCTTTCCTTCCTTCCTTCCCTCTCTTCCTTCCTCCCTCCCTCCCTCCCTCCCTCCCTTCCTTCCTTCCTCCCTCCCTCCCTTTCTCTCTCTCCTTCCTTCGTTCCTTCCTTCCTTCTTCCTTCCTCCCTCCCTCCTTTTCTCTCTCTTTCTTTCCTTCCTTCCTTCCCTCTCTTCCTTCCTCCCTCCCTCCCTCCCTCCCTTCCTTCCTTCCTCTCTCTCCCTTTCTTTTTTTTTTTTTTTTTTTTGACAGAGTTTCACTCTTCTTGCCCAGGCCGGAGTGCAGTGATGCAATCTTCGGTCACTGCAACGTCTGCCTCCTGCGTTCAAGTGATTCTTCTGCCTCAGTCTCCCAAGTAGCTGGGATTACAGGTGTGCACCACCATGCCAGGCTAATTTTTGTATTTTTGGTAGAGACAGGGTTTCACCATGTTGCCCAGACTGTTCTCGAACTCCTGACCTGTGATCTTCCTCTCTCAGCCTCTCAAAGTGCTGGGATTACAGGCATGAGCCACCACACCTGTTTTGTTTTGTTTTGTTTGTTTGTTTTTGACACAGGGTCTCACTCTGTCACTCAGGCTGGAGGGCAATGGCGCAATCACAGCTCACCATTGCCTTGACTTCCCAAATTTAAGCAATTCTCTCAGCTCAGCCTTCCCAGCTACAGACACATGCTACCACACCTGGCTAATTATTTATTTATTTATTTAGAGGCAGGGTCTTGCTATGTTGCCCAAGCTGGTCTTGAACTCCTGTGCTCAAATGATCCTCCCACCGCAGACTTCAAGTGCTGGGATTACAGGTATGAGCCACTGTGCTTTGCCAAAAAGGTCTTGAATGTTGGGTTTTTTTCCTTTTTTTTTTTTTTTTTTAGATGAAGTCTCCTTCTGTCACCAGGCTGGAGTGCAGTGGCATGATCTTGGCTCACTGCAACCTCCACCTCCCGGGTTCAAGCAATTCTCCTGGCTCAGCCTCCCAAATAGCTTATGGTTACAGATGAGTGCCACCACACCCAGCTAATTTTTGTATTTTAGTAGAGACGGGGTTTCACCAGGTTGCCCAGGATGGTCTCAAACTCCTGACCTGTGATCTGCCTGCGTTGGCCTCCCAAAGTGTTGGGATTACAGGCATACACCACCGTGCCCAGCTGGATGTTGGTTTTTCTTCCCTTGACTGTCTTCAAACTTTAGGTCCTGTGGAAATCCCACATGTAGCAAACTGCATTTAAGGAGCACATAGATCTGAAGAAGAATTGCAGAAACGGTGGGTTGTGCCAGCCTCCACAGCTTGCTCAGTTCCTGGGTGCGCACACTTGTTCTTGGGATCGTTCTCTCCCTCTGTTCAGCGGTTATGCTGCTCCTGGAGAAATTGGTTTTTTTTAGATGGAGTCTTGCTCTGTCACCAGGCTGGAAGCAGTGGCACAATCCCAGCTAATTGAAACCTCCACCTCCTGAGTTCAAGTGATTCTCCTGCCTCAGCCTCCCAAATAACTGGGATTACAGGCATGAGCCACCACATCTGGCTAATTTTTTTTGTATTTTTAGAAGAGACGACGTTTCACCATGTTGGCCAGGCTGGTCTTGAACTCCTGACCTCAGGTGATGCGCCCACCTCGGCCCCCTAAAGTGCTAGGATTACAGGCATGAGCCATGATGGCTGGCCTAGCTTGGCATTTTGAAAAGATTGCTGTCTGCTGTTTTGGAGCATGGATCGCGGCAGCAAGGGCAGAAATTGGGACAGAGTGCTTGGGAGACCACCATGATGACCCAGAGGAGATGACAGGCCCAGTCCAGGGAGGTGGCCACAGAGATGCCTGACAACAAAAGATCAGGAGCTCCTGGAGCAATAACATTGGGAGAATTGGGGAATGGGTTGGAAACAAGGAAGTGGAGGGGAAAGAAACAGCAAGGATACCTGCTTGGTGTCCGGCCCAGATGGATGAACCATGTGCTGCTCATCAAGATCAGGAAGGAGGAGACCCAGGTATGGGGTGAGAACTCAGGAGGCAGAGGTTGTAGTGAGTCGAGATTGTGCCACTGCACTCCAGCCTGGGTGCAAGACTCCATCTCAAAAAAAAAAAAAAAAAAAAGACTCCTCTCCTCCAGGGCTTGAATTCAGCTCTGCACACCCCCACCACAACAGCCAAGGACACCGGGGCAATCAATGTGGGGAGTGCTTCGGCAGACCAGGGCGCCTCCACCCCTATAGCCAAGACTCCTGGGGCAGTGCGGGAACAAGGGGGCCTGAAGCAAGCCTGTCAGTGTTTGCTTATTGCCCCTTGAGGGGGTAGATGCGGAAAGGAGTTCATTGTGAGGGTACATTCTCTATCCTCTGAGTACAGTGTGTGCTTCTGGCTTACAGAACCAACTTCTCGTGCCAGAGGCCGCTCAGACAGCCTGAGCAGACAGAGCTTGGCATCTTCCCTCCAAAACAGTTCCTCCTGCTGGGTACCTTTTCACAGTGCTAGACACCCCCAGCCAGGCAGGCTCTCAGCCCAGAAAAGGTCTGGGGAGGCCATGGCCAGAGCCCAGGTGCACAGACAAGGTGGGAGTTGCCACCCAGGGGGACACACACACTCTGTCACTGACCAGGGAGGAGGCAGGCAGTAGGCAGGGAGGCACTGAAATGGCAGAGAGGTTGGGAAGAGACACTTTGGGGCTGAAATGGAGCCGCCTTCTCTGCTGCTTTTATGAGTCCCAATAGCAGCTCTGATCAGATCCAGCATTTTCTCACTTTCACTGGGACTGTACCCCCAAAATAAATTTTTGGAAGTGGTGGCTGTGTAAATCCGCAGCATTTTGGAATTACATCTCTTATGATGGATTTGATAGATAACTGCCTCCCCCACTAAACCCAGAGCTCCGTGACAGCAGGGAAGGCAAAATTCCAAAACGTCAAAAAGCACAACCTTATTAAAAAGGAGAAACACCCCCAGTTCATCAGGAGCACCTTGGATTTAACTGCTCCTGCCAAGGGTCTGAGCTGTGTGGGTGGGGAAGAGAAACAGGTCATGTGGGCCGGGGTCTCTGGACCCACTGTGGGGATGTCAGCTTGCTCGTAGGTGGAGAAACTCAATGTGACATTAACAGCACCTCCGAGCCCAAGGACCCAGCGATTCTGACACAAGAACTCAGAAATGATTGCATTTCCCTGACTCAGAGACACCCTCCCACCTGGGCATGAACCCAGCCCTTGCCAAATATCCAGAGACCTGAATGCCATCTATTTCCTTCTCTCCCTCCATCACCAATTACTGGCCAGGTGTCCCTGGGATGCACCTGTTCTCCCTAGCCCCTCCATTCCCATCTTAGTTCAGGCCTTCTTGTCTCTCGCCTGGACCACTTCGACAGCCTCTTAATTGGCCTCTCCACTTCCAGGCTCCCTTCGACGTGTCCTGGCTCCACCCCAGATGGGCCATTCTAAAAGGCAGATCAGGCCCTTCTCAGTCGGGCTTCACGTTCACTCAGATGCACGTCGTGGACCCAGAGTCGGGCATTAAAGACCTGCCACGATTCAACATTCTGTGGCCTCTCCGGCTTAGGGCCTCATCTCACACACCCTCTCCTCTGACCTCCCCCAACCCCAATCCCCACAGACTCACAGACACCCTGACACTTGGCAAAGCCATAGGATTTTTTGTTTTGTTTTGTTTTGAGATGGAATCTCTCTGTCATCCAGGCTGGAGGGCAGTGTCGTGATCTCAGCTCATGGCAGGCAACCTCTGAAGGCCACAGGATGTTTAAGTCACTCCCTGGGGAGTCCTGTCAGGCCAGGAATGAGGGGACCCTGGGAACAAGGTGCTGAGTGGCATCAGCGTCTCTGCCTGGGGGCAGGGGATGTGTCTAGGTCGTGGTTGACAGGAGAGCCTGATCACAGATTCCCCATGCAGAGCTGACGATTAGCAATTAACCGGGAGGAATCTCAGGGGTGAGGTTAATCGGGGAACAGAGGGAGGGCAGCTAGGGTTCTAGGGACTTTGCCCTTGACCCGAGGGTATAAAAGAGGAGGGTCCCAGTTCTCCTCAGGGTCCTGGAGGCTTCCTTGAGCTGCTGAGCCAAAGCGGAAACACAGACCCCCAAGGTGAGCCCAGGGCCCTCACATCCCAACCCTACCCCAGCTCTGAGTAGGAAACAGCCCAGCACTCCAGCCCCTTCATCTCTGTCCTATCTGTGCCCACCCCAGCGTGCCCCATATAACGTGTCAGTCCAGCCAGGCACTTTGGGAGGCCAAGTGGGCGGATCACCTGAGGTCAGGAGTTTGTACAAAAAATTAGCTGGGCATGGTGGCAGGCACCTGTAATCCCAGCTTCTTGGGAGGCTGAGGCAGGAGAATCACTTGAACCTGGGAGGCAGAGGTTGCAGTGAGCCAAGATCTCAGCATCTTTTATCACCACTATATCCCAGCATATCTGCTTCAGAGCCTGGGCTAGAGCTCAATAATACTCATTGAATGAGTGAATGAACACCTCACTACCACAACACACACCCCTCCAAGACTCACATGCAGGTGTCCAGCACAGATATGCACATGTGAGTCTCAGAGGGGTGTGTGTGGTGATGGTGAGGTTGGAGGGTGTGCTTTGCCGGGTGTGTGTTTGGAATCATGCACCATGGGGGTTTGTGCAGGTGAGGGTGTGTGGGCGTGAGCGTCCAGGACACAGTCATTGTCATGCAGTGTCCCTGTGATCCACTGACCTGCAGGCCTCACAGCGGTGCCCAGGATGCTGTCCTATGGAGAGAGGCTGGGGACCCCTGCTGTTTCCCCACTCCCAGTCCATGGGGGGCGCATGATGCGAGGGGCAGCCTTTGCCTATGTGCCCAGCCCTCAGGGTGAGTGCTGCTCCCACACCCTGGACCCTGCTTGACCATGGTTGCCCACATCCCGGGTGAGGCCACTTCTCCTGCCTGTCCCTTCCCACCTCCCGCCCTGGGGCCTCTAGGAGTTCCTGAGCAGCCTCCCTCCCCAGTCCTGCACAGGATCCCAGGGACCTCTGCCTATGCCTTTCCCAGCCTGGGCCCTGTGGCCCTTGCAGAGCATACCTGCCCCTGTGGGGAGGTACTGGAGCGACATGAGCCACTGCCTGCCAAGCTGGCCCTGGAGGAGGAGCAGAAGCCAGGTGGGCCTGGGTGGGGGGCAGCAGGGGCAGCAGCAGTTCCTGCCCTGGCCTCTACCTGCTGTGCTCATGGCTGCCCCCCTCCAGAGCCCAGGCTATTTCCCAAGCTGCGCCAGGCTGGTGCCATGCTGCTCAAGGTGCCGCTGATGCTCACCTTCCTTTACCTCTTCGTCTGCTCCCTGGATGTGCTCAGCTCAGCCTTCCAGCTGGCTGGAGGTAGGACCTGGGTGCAGGAGACCCAGGAGGGGTTCCTGAAGGGCCTTGGACAATGCTGGCTTATGCTCCCCAGGTAAGGTGGCTGGTGACATCTTCAAGGATAATGCCATCCTGTCCAACCCGGTGGCTGGGCTGGTGGTGGGGATCCTGGTGACGGTGCTGGTGCAGAGCTCCAGCACCTCCACATCCATCATCGTCAGCATGGTCTCCTCTGGCTGTGAGTTGGCCCACCAGAGTGGGGAAGAGCCTGGAGGCACTGGGTCGTATTGTCTGGAGACTAGGGCAGCGAGGCAGGGCTTCGGGTCTGGGGCAGGGGTGGAATAAGGGCTGAGAGCAAAGGGCAGGGCTCCATTTCCCACCCTGGCCCCTAAAGCATGGCCAAGAGTCCGAGCTAGCAGAGGTGCCTCAGGAGCTGGGAAGGGTGGCAAATGGGGAGCGTGGCCACAGGAAGGCTGGCCTCCATTCAGCCTGACTCCTGTATCAGCCAGGGACACCAAAGGAGCCCAAACTCTAGCTGTATGTAACCCGGATGATTTATAGCAAGGAACTGGCTTCCCCGATGGTGGGGCTGTCTGGGCAAGTTAGGAATCTGTAGGCCAGGGCATTGGAAAGGCAGGTGGGAACTCTCAGATGGCGCCAATGCTGCAGTTCACACAGGGTTTCTCCTTCCTCAGGGAAGCCTCAGTTCTGCTGGAGGCCTTTCATCCTATTGGATGAGGCTGATCCAGGTTACCGAGGATAATCTCCTTTCCTTAAAGTCAGCTCACTATGGACATGAATTTCATCTACAAAACACCTTACAGAACACCTAGGCTAGTGTCAGGTTGAATAACTGGGTACCACAGCCTAGCTAAGTTGACACATAAAACTAACCATCACACTCAGGGACATGTGTGCACACACAAACACAAATCCCTATTTGCACATAGGACACAAGCCCATGAGCCCTCATAACGCAGGCCTCACATGTGCACACGTTCACATCTAGACACCATGCATGGTGCATGTACATCTACTCGCATGGATGAATGCACATACCTGTACATGCACAGCACAAGCCCACGTGCATCTGTGACACCAAGGTTAGGCAGACTCAGCAGCATGGCAGTAGCGGCCACTGGGGACTGGGAGGTGGGTAGGGGGACTGACAAGAAATCTGGTGGGGCAGGAGCTGGGTGACCCCCAAATTTGTTAGGATGCCTTCTCTTCTACCAGTGCTGGAGGTGAGCTCTGCCATCCCCATCATCATGGGCTCCAACATCGGTACCTCTGTCACCAACACCATCGTGGCCCTGATGCAGGCGGGGGACAGGACTGACTTCCGGCGGTGAGGGGGGCTGGGGGTTGGGGGCATGTACTTGGGGGAGGGCAGCCCCAGATGCTAGGAACCCCAGGTGTGTCTGTGCTCTGGCTCCAGACTGCCTTGCAATTTGGCCTCCCTGCCCAGGGCCTTCGCAGGGGCCACAGTGCATGACTGCTTTAACTGGCTGTCCGTTCTGGTCCTGCTGCCCCTGGAGGCTGCCACCAGCTACCTGCACCACGTTACTCAACTCGTGGTGGCCTCCTTCAACATCCATGGTGGCCGTAACACTCCTGACCTGCTCAAGATCATCACGGAGCCCTTCACAAAGCTCATCATCCAGGTGACAGCAGAGCCTTGTGTGGGGTAAGGGTGGGGGGAGCAAGGGACCCGCCCTCCCTCACTCCCCCCGCCACATCTTGCCCACAGCTGGACAAGTCTGTGATAATCAGCATTGCCACCGGTGACGAGTCCCTGAGGAACCACAGTCTCATCCGGGTCTGGTGCCACACAGACTCCACAGAGGTAAGTCTCAGGCCTGGCCCCAGGTAAGAGGACTCCCTCTTTAGACTATTGGTTTCATTGTCTGTTAAAATGCTCCAGATAGACCTTGAAGATCATTTAGCCAGGAGAGGGCAAATATATGGCCCTTCTACTGTGCTGACAGTAAACATTGCTAATTCCTCCCAACTTCACACATTCCCTTAGGCAGACATCACCAATCAATGAGAGTTGTTATGTAATTGACCTAGCCCAATGGTTGTTGAAGTGTGGTCCCAAACCAGCATCTTGGGCACTGCCTGGGAAGAGATGCAAATCACCCTGCCCTTCTCTAGACCTACTGAATCTGGAAAACCTCTGGGAGTGGGGCTCCGTGGCCTATGCTTCAGCACTTCCTCTAGCTGGGCTCTGCACTCAAGTTTGAGAACCACTGATGTAGCTCAACCCCTGGGTTTCACAGGTAGAGACACAGATTCAGAGAGGCTAAGAAATGTGCCAGAGCTTGTCCTACAGTGTCAGGGCCTGAGAACCCCAGAGGGGTTAGTGACTCAGCTGGGCCATGTTTTGGGACCCAAGTAATGTGGGGAGGAGGCAGAGTGCTATAAGGATACCCAAGAAAGTAGGGTGAACAGGTAGGTGGGCTGCATGGGGACCTCCTTGGGGATACAACAGGCCCTTGTGCTGGCATTGGGGTTCCTTCTCCTGGAGACTGCCACAGCCTTGTCCTTCTGCACTGTTTCTGCTGCTTCTAATGCTGGGGAGATCTGTTTGAACTGAGTGCACATTCACGGACCTCTCATTATGCCAGGCTGTTGAGGAAGCAAGCAATTAACACACTTCCTTACTCAGCCATAAAAAGGAAAATGCTTCATCCAAACAACAACCCACTATATTTGCTTCTCCTTGATGCTTACATACAAGATGTAACTCCATGTAGAAGGAGATATGAGGAAATCCAGAGCCACAGCACAAGCACAAGCCTTTCCCCTCACCCTTTCCACTGGCAGCTCCGTGTGACTGGATCTTTATCCTGGTGGGAACAGAAAACACTCATCTGACTCGCCCTGCGATGTTCCTTTGAGTCTAAAGTTGCTGCAGCTCAGCCTCTGAGCTGTTCAAAGCAGCCTGACATCAAAAAGCCCCAATGGACAGCTTTTACACTGACGTCGTGACCTCTTTAATATATCAACCGCCTTTTCACGAGCTCTCTGGGCACTCTCAGAGCTCTCTGAATCACCACAAGCCTCTACTTCATAGCAAAATCTGGAAGGGAGAGAAATCACACACTTTGATCTTTGCAAAAAGCAAGCCATGGAAGAGAGCTCTGTTCCTCGCTGCCTCTGAGCTCCCCGCCGGCCACCTGCTGCGGCTTCAGGCAGCTCTCAACCTGCAGCCTCCGTGTCCTCACCTGAAGTCATCCTCACCCAGGCTCAGTGTGCGGAAGCCGCCCTCAGGCCTTTCTCTATGGCTGAAGCTGACACTTGTCCAGCTGGTTTCTCTTCCTCGCTCTAGCAGGAAACACTTTCCTTAATAGCAGGGGAGGGGCTGATTTCCTCGGCTTGGAGAGTAACTGGTGGGTGGGACCTGAGCTCTCACTTTCATCCTCTTCCTGGGACGATGCCCCAAAGGAGTGTGACTCTCACGCAGCGATAGATGCGCTTGCTCTTGCAAAATGTGAAGTGCGTCCTGGCTCCTCCTGCCTGAAGACTTGGGTTTGTCCTTTGGCCACAGAGTCTCTCTGTGCTCCCTTCCAACCTGTTCCCATCGACTCCAGCTTTCACCACGCTGGACCCAAGCTCGCCCAAACCAGTCTCCAGGGAAGCGATGCACCAGGGAGAGGAGGCGAGTCCAAGGCCTTCCAGATGGGGAAAGAAGAACCAGCGGCAGTTGTAGGTTCAGACAAGTGAGTCTCTTGGGACCCTGACAGTGTCCTAGGACTCACCTTCTTACGTGGTCACGCTGTGGATTGTCAATCATACCTGCCTGGTTTAAACAAGCATCTTTTGAGGACTTGTAACCTAGGAGGCAGAAATGATCACATCCCCCACTTTACAGATGAGGAAACTGAGCCCCAGAAACGAGCAGTAGCTTGCCCAAGTCCATGTAATCAAGGTAGGATATAAATCCTGAAGGAATCCTATCTTGTTGCCTCTTTCACTCACCAGTCTGACATTCTACTATGTATGTTTGCTTCCCATGCTGCCCATCAGGCCTGAACACCACCAGCTGACCACAGCCAGGTTGAGACCATTCCAGAGGTAGCGGGTGTTGCTCTAAGGAGGAGTTCTCCTTTTCGCCACTATAGGTGCTGCTGGCACAGTGCTCTCTCTCTGCTTCCAGAAGAACAAAGGCCCTAGAGCTCCCCTTCCTGTGAGCTTAATCACCTCCTTCAGTTCCCAGAGGGGGCTCTTTAATTTAGGGTGTCCCGGTAGGCACTTAAATCCCAATTCTCTCTTCCAAAATGCTTCCAACTAGCCCCTGGGAAAAGGTGGGAGCACTATGGACTTCATGCGGCAGAGGAGGAAACAGGCCCAGAGAGGTTAAGTGTTTGCTCTGGTGACACACAGCTGGGAACGGCTTAGCTGGGGTATGGGCCTAGGGCTGTCCACAGGCGCATTCTGTTCTTCCCACGGAGCCGCTCCACCACCGACTTCCGGCCCCTCCGGCCTCTCCACCCGACCCCAGGCCCAGGCAGGGATGGGCACATCTTGGGAAAATGCCCCCAGATCCTGGGCCTCCCAGCTCTTTTATCTAAGCTGGACTTTCCCTCTTCTCCCTCTGCCTCTCAAGGAAGCCACAGGGCCTGCTCCCTCCCCGCAGTTCCCTCTCTGCTTGGCTTTGTCCCTCCTGCCACCTCTACCTTCCTCTCTTGTACTTTAGGGTCTCTGGGCTTTCAGCTGGGCCACATATCCCAGCTAGGGAGGTCAAGGTTCTAAAAACCTAGAGGGCTTGGCCCTCAGCTCTGCCCTGCTGCTGCCCCTGACAGCCCTAGGTCCAGCCCTAAGCTGGAACCCCAGTAAAGTTCCCCATTCTCCCCCACCCTCCCCAGGGCCCCACAGTCCTCCCCCTGGAGACCACTGGGCCCAGCCCAGGTTAGGTCAATGGGGCACAGGTTGATCAGGCACCCACTCATTTCAGGGAGTTGTCTGCTCCATGGGCCTCTAGGCTGGGAATTCCCAGGAAGGTCCAGCAGGCTCCTCCCCAGCAGGGCCAGGGTCCTCAGGTTTGTCTGCAGGGGCCACTGGTCCTGACCTAGGGAGTCAGTTACACGTGCAGCCTCCCCACAGTGTGATCCTGAAGGCCCAGGGAGGGAGAGGGTTGCTCCGTATTGGAAGGCTCCTCATGAGCCGTGCGATGAGCGCTTTAAACACATTTCCCCCTGAAACCTTTGCAGCAGCTCTTCTATTACCCTGCTTTAGAGAAAACAGGCTTTGAGAGGTGGCATGGCTTACCCAGGGTAGTTGGTATAAGAAGCAGGATTTGGGATGGCCGACCACTAACAGCTCAGGATTGTAGCTCCCAGTGAAAGCTCAGAGAACGAGACGACGCCACATTTTTAGACGAATTTTCGTCACTCACCGATTACCCAATTCCCAGTGGAGGAGCCCCACGGGTCGCCAGCGCAACTCTTGTGGCTGCCGCAGCGGTTTTGCCAGCGTCTCGGCGCAGCAGCTCTTCACGCAGAGCCAACGGGACTGCTTCCCCTACTGACTGGAGTTTGGAGCTCTGGGAAGTCAGAGCCGCTTGTTGCGGACTCAAGAAGGAAGCCAGACCAGAGATTCCCGGGCAGAAGAGCACCATCAGTCTTATCGCTGCTATTTAGGCTGCCACAGTGAGTTGCTCGGATCCCAGCACTGGGAATCAATAAGTCGGACGTCGACTCAGAAACCTAATTAGAAAGGCGGTTCATCTACAATGAAGGGAAAAAGCAACCTAAGAAGGCCGAGTATACTCAAAATCAGAATCCATCAGCAACGGAACAAGCCCTGTTGGAAAAGGACTCATTAGCAACCGAACAAGCCCTGATGGAAAAGGACCCATCAGTAACGGAACAAGCCCTGATGGAAAAGGACTGTGTTCCATTATCTGAAGTAGGCTTTAAAAGGTGGATGATAAGAAACTTCTGGGAGTTAAAGGAACTTGTTCTAACCCAATGTAAAGAAACTAAGAACTTGGAAAAAAGGTTAGATGAAATGTTGAAAAGAATAGACAATATAGAGAGGAATACAAATGAACTTACGGAGTTGAAAAATACAACACGAGAACTTAGTGAAATATGTACAAGCTTAAACAGCCGAATGGATCAAGCAGAAGAAAGGGTATCAGAGGTCGAAGACCAACTTAATGAAACAAAACGACAAGACAAGAATAGAGAAAAAAGGATAAAAAGGAATGAGCAAAGTCTCCAAGCAATATGGGACTATGTGAAAAGACCTAATATACGCTTGATTGGTGTACCTGAATGTGACGGAGAGAATGAAGTCACGCTGGAAAATACTCTCCAGGACATTATCCAGGAAAATTTTCCTAATTTAGCAAAGCAGGACACTATTCAACCCCAGGCAATACAGAGAACACCACAAAGATATTCCTCAAGAAGACCAACACCAAGGCACATAATCGTTAGATTCACCAAGATCGAAACGAAGGAGAAAATGTTAAGGGCAGCCAGAGAGAAAGATCAAGTTACCCATAAAGGTAAGCCTATTAGGCTTACAGCAGATCTCTCAACGGAAACCCTACAAGCTAGAAGAGAGTGGGGGCCAATATTCAATATACTTAATCAACAGAACTTTCAGCCCAGAATTTCATATCCTGCCAATTTAAGCTTTACATTTGAAGGAAAAATAAAATCTTTTAGGAACAAGCAAGTACTCAGAGATTTTATTACCACCAGGCCTGTTTTACAAGAACTTCTAAAAGAAGTACTATACACAGAAAGGAACAACCAGTATGACCCTTTCTAAAAATACACCAAAAAGTAAAGAGCATTAACATAAAGAAGAATTTTTATCAACGAAAGGACAAAATAGCCAGTTAATATCAAATGGCAGCAACCCTAAATTTAAATCGACCAAATCTCCCAATCAAAAGATACAGACAAAATCCAACGGTATATCCAAAGATATACATAGACTCAAAATAAAGGGTTGGGGAAAAAAAACGTACCAACCAAATGGAGAGCAAAAATAAATAAATAAAAAGCAGGAGTTGCAATTTTCACATTTGACAAAATAGATTTCAAAGCTACAAGGATACAAGGGTAAAAGGATTAATGTAATAATAAGAGATCTTAACACCCAGATACATAAGACCCATAATGAGATTTAGATTCAACGAGACAGGAAATTGATAACGATATCCGGGACTGGAACTAAGATCCAGAACAAATAAACTCAATAGAGCTCTCCATTTTAAACACACAAAATATACATTATCCACAAAATCTAACGATATATCTAAAGATATATAAAGACTCAAAACAAGGGGATGGAAAAAAACTCACCGACCAAATGGAGAGCAAAAATAAATAAATAAAAAGCAGGAGTTGCAATTCTCACACTTAATAAAATAGATTTCAAAGCTACAAGGATGCAAGGGTAAAAGGATTAATGTAACAATAGGAGATCTTAACACCCAGATACATAAGACACATAATGAGATTTAGATTCAACGAGACAACAAATTGATAACGATATCCAGGACTTGAACTCAGAGCCAGAACAAATAAACACAATAGAGGTCTCCATTTCAAACACATAAAATATGCATTAACCACTTTAAACACTCAAAATATTGATCGGCCATTATTGAAACCCATTTTAGGAATGAAGTAATATTCCTTTTTCCCTCTTTTTCTTTTTTTCCCCTTCTTTTTCTCTTTTTCCAAAAAAAAAAGAAGCACGATTTGAACTTAGATCTGTCTAACAGCAAACACCTGGCTTTCTCTCTCCCTTACCCTTGTGGCAGTTACCATCACTTTCCCGGCCCGGTTTTCCCATCTAGCCCATCAGAGGCTATTTTTTCTAGGCTTCTTGGCCTGCCATTCAAGCCCAGGCTTCATTGGTCCCCAAGGCCCTGATGTAGTGAACTGGGAGCACAGACGAGCACAGTGTCCCATTCAAGGGAGAACATTCTGCTAAAACAAACCCTGATGTTACACCAGACGCTGTGAAAGTTCTTATCTTGGCCAGTCACGATGGCTCATACCCGTAATCCCAGCACTTTGGGAGGCCGAGGTGAGTGGATCACCTGAGGTTAGGAGTTCAAGACCAGCCTGGCCAACATGGAGAAACCCCATCTCTACGAAAAACACAAAAAATTAGCCGGGCCTGGTGGCAGATGCCGGTAACCCTAGCTACTCAGGAGGTGGAGGCAGGAGAATTGCTTGAACCCAAGAGGTGGAGGTTACAGTGAGCCAAGATCGTGCCACTGCACTCCAGCTTGGGCAACAGAGCAAAAACGCTGTCTCAAAATAAATAAATAAATATATATATATATAACTTCTTAACCCAACAAGGCTACAAATTAGTTGTCCACATGCCAGACTGGGCTGCTTCTGCTGACCTTTGTTGAATTGTAAAGGATATCTCAGTGTGGTTGCCAATATTTACAGATTGGGAGTTTGTTCTTTTGAAGGGGTTTTGTTTTTTGAGATAAGGTCTTGCTCTGTCACTCAGGCTGGATGTGATCATAGCTCACTCCACCCGCGACCACCTGGGCTCCAGAGATCCTCCTGCTTCAACTTCCTGAGTAGCTAGGACTGCAGGCATACACCATGCCCTGACTAATTGTCTTTGTGGAGACAGGGTCTTGCTATGTTGCCCAAGCTGGCCTCCCATTACTGGCCTCCAGTAATCCTCTCACCTTAGCCTCCCAAAGTGCTAGGATTACAGCCATGAGCCACCTTGCACAGGGCCCAGATTGGGAGATTTTATCTAGAAATTCAGAGTTGTGGCTTCTTTCATAGAAATTGGGCAATTTAGCCATGCTAGGCTGCGTCCCTGGATGGTGACAGTGACCAGGAGCTGAGTAGTTGCTGACTCTATAGGGCCAGGAGAAACTCTCCCCACCTCTTCCACACATAGTCCAAGCTGCTCACTTAGGTTACCCACCCAGCCCTGTGGACCTCTGAATTGTAGGGCCTCCCTAAGGGGCCCCTTTGCCCCACTGACAGTAGGTGGACAGAAGAGATGTGTGAGCTGGGCCCTCTGTCCCCTGGCCCCCCCGATCTAGAGGAGAATGGAGCTTGGGCTAAGGGTGTCTTGGAGGAGAGGATGGAGACAGGATGCTGGGGAAGGGGCACCAAGAAAGGGATTGGTAATGAAAGATGAGGAAGGGGGTGTTTTCAGACAAACAGAAGTATGTTCAGCAGCAACCAATGCCACTGAGAGAGGGAGGAAAACAAAGACAAGAAGCTGCTGGATGTGGCCCGGGGGAGAGTTGGGCCAGTGGAGTGACAGGGCAGAACACACCGAGGGCCAGATTCTTGTGTGGCAGGTACTTTCACCACGTGTCCTTAGTGGAAGAGACAGGCTCAGGGAGGGCAAGAGATACATCCATGGTCACAGAGCAGGAGGCCCATCTCCATCTTCCCCATCCTTCCCAACCCCCATCTCAGCCCCAACCTCAGGCTGTATTTTCCTAATTCACTGAGTCACCCTCCTCTTAATCTAGGCTCCCACCTCCATGTCCAGGGCAGAGGCCAACTCCAGCCAGACCCTTGGAAATGCCACTATGGAGAAATGTAAGTGCCTGCATCATGAGAGGTGTCCTGCAGGCAAGGGCAGAGCCTGGCAGTGGCAGGGCCATCCTGCACCCAACCACTGTTGTGTCCAGACCCAGGAAGGACAGCTGGCAACCTGCCCAGCTCCTGAGCCTGGATCAAGCTCCAGTGTTGAGGCTCAAGGAGCCTGAGTGGGGCCTTAGGCTCAGAACCCAACTGGGTGGCAAAGGTGGGGACCTGGGAGCCAGGTGTGGGGTCAGCTGTCAGGAGCTCCAACCCCTGCAGGCAAACACATCTTTGTGGACACGGGCCTGCCGGACCTGGCTGTGGGGCTCATCCTGCTGGCAGGATCCCTGGTGCTGCTGTGCACCTGCCTCATCCTCCTCGTCAAGACGCTCAACTCCCTGCTCAAGGGCCAGGTGGCCAAGGTCATCCAGAAGGTCATCAATACTGGTGAGCTGTGAGCAGTTGGCTGGGCAGGGCTGCAGGATGGGCCTGTTAAGATCCTGCTAAGTCCTGCCACTGCCTTTATTTGGGTAAACCCTACCATCTCTGAGCCTCAGTTTCCCCATGTGAAGAAGGTGGTTTCTGAGGCCAATGAGGTGCTGACAGCTGGAGACCTGTGGCTGCCTCTGGCTGTGGTTCTGTTTTAGCAGGTGGAGATGCTCAGGAACCATTGTTTGATTCAATCAACAAACAGTCCTTAAGCCCCCATTGTGTGACAAGGAAGGTGTAGTGCCAGGGATAGAGGTGAGACAAATAGAGATGGGTCCTGCCCTCAGGGGCTCACAGCCCAGCAGAGGGAGGCAAGCAATGAAAACTAACTGCGATTGGCAAGTAGCTCACATCTGTAAATCCAGCACTTTGGGAGGCTGAAGCAGGAGGATTGCTTGAGCCCAGGAGTTCAAGACTAGCTTGGGCAACATAATGAGACTATTTTTCTTTTGTATTTTTGTTTTGTTTTGTTTTGAGATAGAGTTTTGCTCTTGTTGCCCAGGCTGGAGTGCAATGGCACAATCTCGGCTCACTGCAACCTCCACCTCTCAGGTTCAAGCAATTCTCCTGCCTCAGCCACCCCAGCAGCTGGGATTACAGGCATTCGCCACCACAACTGGCTACTTTTGTATTTTTAGTAGAGACAGGATTTATCCATGTTGGTCAGGTTGGTCAGGCTGGTCTCAAACTCCCGACATCACGTGATCCACTCATCTCAGCCTCCCAAAGTGCTGGGATTACAGGCATAAACCAACACACCCGGCCAACTTTGTCTTTTTTTTCTTTTTGAGACCAAGTTTCACTCTTATTGCCCAGGCTGGAGTGCAATGGTGCAATCTTGGCTCACTGCAACCTCCCCTTCCTGGGTTCAAGTGATTCTCGTCTCAGTCTCCCAAGTAACTTGGATTACAGGTGCCTGCCACAACGCCCAGCTAAGTTTTTGTATTTTTAGTAGAGACAGCATTTCACCATGTTAGCCAGGCTGCTCTCAAACTTCTGTCCTCAGGTGATCCACCCACCTCCACCTCCCAAAGTGCTGGGATTACAGGCCTGAGCCACCTCACCTGGCCAAGACTTCGAGACTTTTCTTTTCTTTCTTTCTTTTTTTTTTTTTTTGAGACGGGGTCTTGCCCTGTCACCAGGCTGGAGTGTAGTGGCATGTTCTTGGCTCACTGCAGTCTCCGCCTCCTGGGTTCAAGTGATTCTCCTGACTCAGCCTCCTGAGTAGCTGGGACTACAGGTGTGCACCACCATGCACAGCTAATTTTTGTGGGTTTTTTTTTTTTAAAGACGGGGTTTTGACATGTTGGTCAGGCTGGTCTTGAACTCCCGACCTCAAGTGATCCGCCCGACTTGGCCTCCAAAGTGCTTGGATTACAGGCGTGAGCCACCATGCCTGGCCTAACTTTTGTGTTATTGAGTAGAGATGGGGTTTCACCATATTGGTCAGGATGGTCTCAAACTCCTGACCTTGTGACCCACCCGCCTTGGCCTCTCAAAATGTTGGGATTACAGGTGTGAGCCACAGCGCCCAACCAAGACTTTGTCTTTACAAAAAAAATTTAAAATTAGCTGGGCATGGTGGTGTGCTCCTGTAGTGCCAGGTACTCAGGATGCTGAGTGAGAGAATTGCTTGAGCCTAGTAGGAGGCTGCAGTGAGTTATGATGGCACCACTGCATTCCAGCCTGGGCAACAGAGTGAGACCCTGTCTCGGAAAAAATAGAGATAAAGAAAAAAGGAAAGAAAATAAATGAATTAGGTGGATAAATTCAGAGAGAGGTACCTGCCAAGGACATAGCAAAAATGGCAATGCAGTAGGTATGGAAGAGACAGCTTCCAATGGGCAGTCTGAGGCCACTCAGAGCAGCTACACTAGTAGCTATGATGCGGATGAAGAGCACTCTGGGTGAAGGAATAGTATGTGCAAAGGCTCAGAGGCAGGAACCCGCTTGGCAGGTCGGTGGCACAGAAGGGTGGCCAGTAGCTGGAAAAAGCAGGGTGAACAAGGGGATTGGCTGAGTGGGGTCAGTGAGATGACAGGGAAGGGGCCAGAGCATGGGGTCTCCAGGCTCTGCTCAGAGCCTGGACTTTATTGAGAGTAACATGAGTACTCAGAAGACTTGGGGCAGGGGAGCAACACCATCTGATTTTTGTTCCCCCCTCTTCTTTTTTTTGAGATGGAGTCTCCCCCTGTCACCCTAGGCTGGAGTACAGTTTCATGATCTTGGCTAACTGCAACCTCCACCTCCTGGGTTCAAGCAATTCTCCTGCCTCAGCCTCTCCGAGTAGCTGGGACTACAGGTGTGCGCCACCACACCCAGCTAATTTTTTTCTCTATTTTTAGTAGAGACGAACTTTCACCATGTTGGCCATGCTGGTCTTGAACTCTTGACCTCAGGTGATACAACTGCCTTGGCCTCCCAAAGTGCTGGGATTACAGGTGTAAGCCACCGTGCCTGGCCTCTTTTTTGTTTTTTGAGACAGAGTCTTCCTTGTTACCCAGGCTGGAGTGCAGTGGTACAATCTCAGCTCACTGCAACCTCTGCCCCCCAGGTTCAAGTGATCCTGAGTAAATTGGGATTACAGGTGTGTGCCACCACACTTGGCTAATTTTTGTATTTTTAGTAGAGACAGGGTTTTGCCATGTTGGCCAGGCTAGTCTTGAATACCTGGCCTCAAGTGAGCCTCCCGCCTTGGCCTCCCAAAGTGCTGGGATTACAGATGTGAGCCACCGTGCCCAGCCTCTTTTTTTAAAACTGTAAATTTTTTTTTTAAATAGAGATGGGATGTTACTATGTTGGCCATGCTAGTCTTGAACTCCCAGCCTCAAGTGATCCACCCACCTCAGTATCCCAAAGTGCTGGGATTATAGGTGTGAGCCACCTTGCCTGGCTTTGATTTTCATATTAAACTTCATCCACTGGGAGGGGCCACATGAAAATGCTCGAATAAGGGGTATCATGAGGCTGTGGGAGCTGAGAGAAGGGAGAAAATGTCTGTCTGCTAGAGAGCAGGGGGTCAGGGAAGGTTTTCCAGAGGAAGTGACATCCATGCTGAGTCTGAGGATAAATATTTGGATGCTGAGTAGTATATTCCCATCAGAGGGAACAGCCCCAGCAAAGTCATGGTTGCCTGATGGAGCCAGGCTGAGAAAGGCCTTTAATTCAGGAGCAAAAAGGCCAATGGAAGCCACTGCACTGCAGTTGAACAGGAGACTGACAAGGTCCTAGTGGGAAAGTGGCATCCAAATGCCTCCCTTCCACAGAGGTCTGCTCTCCCAATGCCCCCGCTCTGACCCCGGCCTGCTGGGATGGGGTTTCCTTGCAGATTTCCCTGCCCCCTTCACCTGGGTCACAGGCTACTTTGCCATGGTGGTGGGTGCCAGCATGACCTTCGTGGTTCAGAGCAGTTCTGTGTTCACCTCAGCCATCACCCCACTCATCGGTAAGTGTCCATGCAGAGGTGGAGTCGGGTGGGAGAGGGCTGGCAGGGAAAGGGCTGAAGGAGACGCTGGGAGTCCCACTTCCTCTCCCTCTGCTCCCAGGCCTCGGTGTGATCAGCATTGAGCGGGCCTACCCACTCACACTGGGTTCCAACATTGGCACCACCACCACGGCCATCCTGGCTGCCCTGGCCAGCCCCAGGGAGAAGTTGTCCAGTGCTTTCCAGGTATGCTGGGAGCATAGCCCCGCCTGGGGCAGGATGGATCTGGGATCGGGGTGTGGGGCCTGACAAAGGTGTGACAACATGCAACAAACATTTTGACTGCCTACTAAGGGCCACCTACTATGCTCTATGGAAACCATTATGGGCAAAGTAGACCCAATACCACCCTCAAGACCTTAGCATCTAACAGGAAGACACTGCTCATAATCACAGTAATAAATAGTAGTGAGTCAGATTTGCACCATAAGGAAGAAGAAGAGGTGCTATAAGAGGGGGCCTGGCGAAGTTTGGGAAATCCATTGTGGGGCACAGCGTTGAAAATGGCAAAAGGGGAATTGTTCTAGCAGTGAAGGAGTAACTGACAAGCCAAGGACCCTCACTGAGTGAGGGTCCAGAAACTGACATCAATCCTTTAGCTACTAGACTTTAGCAGAATCTGCTTGGGGGACTCCTGAGCGAGAGGTCGGTGGAGAACATGTAGGGAGCTCAGGGAAGTAGTTATTTACCAACTGGTCCAGAAGTATTTCAATGTTTTCATAACCAGCACAGCTATCCCGGGGTGTTCTGGGGAGATACATCAGCCCTCAGTGGCAACTTTCCTGCTACCCAGACCAGGTTGGGGTTCCTATCATCTACCCCTGCCGGCCTAACCCAGGACCTGGGAGCCAGTGCCCACCTCAGCCCCTCTGTCTCATCCTCTGCAGATTGCTCTCTGTCACTTCTTCTTCAACATCTCGGGCATCCTTCTGTGGTACCCGGTGCCCTGCACACGCCTGCCTATCCACATGGCCAAGGCGCTGGGGAAACGCACAGCCAAGTACCGCTGGTTTGCCGTCCTCTACCTCCTTGTCTGCTTCCTGCTGCTGCCTTCACTGGTGTTTGGCATCTCTATGGCAGGCTGGCAGGCCATGGTAGGTGTAGGCACACCCTTCGGGGCCCTGCTCGCCTTTGTGGTGCTCATCAATGTCCTGCAGAGTCGGAGTCCCCAGCATCTGCCCAAGTGGTTACAGACATGGGACTTCCTGCCTCGCTGGATGCATTCCCTGAAGCCCCTGGACCGCCTCATCACCCGCGCCACTCTATGCTGTGCCAGGCCTGAGCCCCGCTCACCCCCACTGCCCCCCAGGGTATTCCTGGAGGAGCTACCTCCTGCCACACCCTCCCCCCGCCTTGCACTGCCTGCTCACCACAATGCCACCCGATTTTAGGCTGTGAGCCCAGACTACAGCTGGGAATAGGGAAGGCCTGGGTGGAAAGGCAGGGGAGTGTGTGTGTATGTGTGTGCAAGTGCCTGTGCCACTCTGGGTGCCAGTCTCTCCTTCTGCAGCTCTGAAAAGGTCTGGGCTTGTGTGTCAGTGTTGGTGTGTATGCATGTTTGGGGATAAGTCTGCATGTGCACCTGTCGTGTGTAGAAGCTTTTGTGTACATGTGTGCCAGCCTATGCACACATACACAGACACATCTGTGGGAGGCTGTGTGCAAGTTGCAGGGTATCTGGGTATGACTTTTGGTCCTCTGCACATGTACACATGACTAGGATAGGCAGGAGTTAGAGTGGGTCTGAGTATATGACTGTGCAGCTGTTTGTGCATAGATGTTGGTGCCTGCCTCACTGAATCTGCACATCTCCCTGCCACCTTCCTTCCTCCAAGATACCATTCACCTCATCCTAACCCAGGTCTTCAGCTCCACCACAACTCCCTTCACAACACTTGCCTGATGGAAAAAAACAAAAGAAATTAAACTCTCCTTAGGCATTCAGAAGTCTTTTTTGGTCTCCATCAATGGCAAAAGGGAAGACCAAGCCATGGGGTTCAGCAGCACCATCTCCCCTCAAAGACTCGCTGCAAGAGCAGCCTACTCTGCCCTGGCCAGGTGCAGTTCCAGAGAAGCCAGCCCTGCAGGCTCACCCCAACCATCTGCCTTAGTGAGTCCAATCCACAATTCAAACTCCCTGGAAGCCCCTCCAAGGCCTGGGGCCACCCCCAAGGCAAGTGTAAGGAGGAATCTGCACCCCCATCCCCTGACCCCCACCTGGCTGAACTTCCTCTGGTCTCCCTCTGCCCTCTAAATTCACCCACCTCAGCCAGACGCTCACTCCTCCTTGCTGGCATAAGATCAAGGCTCCAGAATGAGTGTCAGGTGGGGTCTGTCATCAGGGTTGCTGGGAGAGGAGAGGGGATGGGGAGGGTAGTGGTGGGCAAGGGAGGTTATGCCCTGCGCCCCAGCACATGAAGGGCAGGGACCAGACACCCTCTCCCACTTTTGTCCACTATCTTTGGGCAATAAACCAGGCCTCAAACTCACCTGCTTTTCAATTCCCACTCCTCTGTAGGTCACCCCAAAACTGAGGCCTACAGTGTGAGTCCCCTGGGTAGGGATACCAGAGTTCCTCCCTCTAGTTCAGGAACTCCTCTGGGGCCTTAGGGAAGGCCTGGGGAAGGCAGGATGTCAGGTCCCAGGTTGTGATGGTCTTGGACATGTGCCCTCTCAGTGGGCCTCGTTGGAGGAATGTGGGTGAAGATGTAGGGGCCTGTGAGCCCCAAATCTGCTTTACAAGCTACCAGGTCCATCCTGTTACCCACTCACACTACTTGCTAGTGCTTGGGATGTGAGTGGAGGGCGAGAGAAGCACACTGGCCTCCAGCCTCACTCCCTGATGGGGAGAGGTGTTCGCGGGATGGGGAGGGGGCTCCCTTTACTTGTCCTGCCTAATGTGTGGAAATATCTGTGAGAAAGGACGCTAAGGATGAAACAGACTTTGAGAAGGCCCCCACCCTTGGACTCTTCCTCAGCTACGAGTCCCTAGGACGCTGGGAAGGAGCCAAGGAGCAGCAGTCAGGCCCTGGCCTCTGCAAGGCGTCCATGGGAGAGCAGGGTGGAAGGCACAGGATCCTGGCAGCCTCTAGACTCAAAATCCCGGCTCCATCAGGTAACCTCCTTGCAAAAATCAGTTTCCTTATTTACAACTCCCCCAGTGGCAAAAGTGGAGGAGGAGCCAGCCACACTCAGGTCACAGTTTATTTGGCCCGCGCTACCGGGCTACCCATGGGCGGCCTGGACTGCCAGGCTAGGCGCCCTGCATGCGCAGCCCGCGGATGAGCTCGTGCGCCGTCTTGTTGAGGATGCCCCCGTGGACGCCGCGTCGACCCATGAGCACCAGGAGCGCGCGCGGCGCGTGGCCTACGCACACGGCGCGCGCGTCCAGCCCATTGGTGCGCGCGTCCAGCACGCCGTCGCCCTCAGCTAGCAGGTGGTCGCGGATGACGCAGCAGCGGCGGCCCCCCACGCTCAGGCCCGCCTGCAGGAAGGTGCGCCGGTCGGGCCCGGTGAGCACGCCCACCTCCTGCGGCGAGATGGCAGCCAGCAGGCCCCCGGGCCGCGAAGCCCACACGCAGCGGTTGTCCGCATGGCCCACGATGGCCACGTCGTCGATGCGTTGGTCCCGCAGCACTGCGCTGATGTAACCCTTCCAGTCGCCCATCGTGCTCCGAGTGCGTCCCCCGACCTCGCGCTTCTCTGTGCTGTGTGGAGGCTCCGCGCCAAGAATACCTGCGGTGCTGTGACGCTTGTGGGGCGGGGCTGTGACGTCACACAAGGGGCCGTCCCGGAGCGACCACCCAGGCTAGGGCACGTGGGGCGTGGGCGTTTAGTGCCCAGGCAGTTCTAGGATTACCCTGTAGGGCGGGTTTGGCAGAACGTGGTGGTTTACTCTTTTAATCCCAGCGCTTTCGGAGGCTGAGGCGGCCGGATCTCTTGAACTCAATAACCAGATTATAGTAAACTATTATAGGATTGTGCCGCTGTACTCCAGCCTGGGCCACATAGCCAGGCCCTATCTCTAAAAAAAAAAAAGTTAATTAAAAAAAATTTTTTTAAATTGAGATGAAGTCTCACTATGTTGCCCAGGCGGGCCACGAACTCTTGCGCTCAAACAATCCTCCCGCCTCAGACTCTCAAAGTGAGATTACAGGCGTGAACCGCCGCATCTGGCCAATCTTTTTTTAATTTTAAAAAGATGATTTTATGAACAAAAAGATACCGTGTTTGGACAGCCAGACCTCCACCTGTATGCCAAGCCCCGTGCAAGGAGAAGCTGCTTGTTATTCCTTATAAGAAACTACTATTTTGTTTACAAAGCAGTTCGCAGACCATACATTAAGATCACCTGGGGAGTCAGGGAACCAACCATTAAACCCCCAGATTGTGGCTCTCGAGCATAAAGGAACATCAGAATCCCCTGCAACGGTGTTAAACAGATTGATACTTCCCACCCCAGACTTTCTGTTCAGCAGTATAAAGTGTAGCCCAAGAATTTGTTATGTCTAAGAAGTCCCCTGGCGATGTATTGCTAGCCAAGGGACTCTGAGACCCACCACATTAGTGCATGTTGGGGTGGAGACAAGGATATGTCACTCAGCCCTCAGGGCCCCACATCATAGCCAATGCTAAATATTATTAGTATTATTTATTTATTTATTTTGGAGACCAAGTCTTGCTCTGTTGCCCAGCCTGGAGTGCAGTGGCACAATCTTGGCTCACTGCAACCTTTCCCTCCTGGGTTCAAGTGATTCTCCTGCCTCAGCCTCCTGGGTAGAGTAGCTGGGACTACAGGCACACACTGCCACATCCGCCTAATTTTTGTATTTTAGTAGAGACAGGGTTTCACCGTGTTGCCTAGACTGGTCTCCAACTCCTGAGCTCAGGCAATCCGCCTGCCTCGGCCTCCCAAAGTGCTAGGATTACCGCCCGGACAATGCTAAGTATTTCTAACCATGATTCTCAACCTTGGCTGGTTGTACATGGAATTATCTGTGGAGTTTTAAAAACATACCAGTACCTATGCCCCATCCCTAGACATAACTGATTTAATTGGTCTGAGGTGGAACTTGGATACAGATTAGCTCAAAACGCTCCCCAGGTGATCTTAATGTATGGTCTGAGAACTATTGCTCTGTAAACAAAAGGTTAGTGAGTTTCTTTTGAGGAATAACATGCGGCTTCTCCTTGCACAGGGCTTGGTATACAGTATCCTAGGCTCAGTAAACTGTACCGGGATCTAGATCTTGCACGTTAAGAGCTCATAGACATTGTTTTCTGAGAGCTGTGGAGAAGGGTGAATCGCTTTTCTGTCTTGGCATTTCCCGACGGGACCCAAGGAGTAGAGCTTTCCTTATCAGCATTTTCAAAGTACTTTATTGAGTTCCTGCGCCATCTTGGTGCGGAGCTGGCCTCACTGGGGGAATGGGACACCATCTTGCCGTCCATGCCCCAGCCAGTCTCCCACTGCGTAATCGCTGGGAATGGAAAGACGAATCCCTGAGCAATCAGGAAGCGGTGTGCTCCTGGATCCAAGACAGGTAGTTGGCCACGTCGGTGTAGACGCCTGGCTTGTTGCGGTCACCACAGCCCGATCCCCAGCTGACGACACCTCGCAGGGTGAGCCGGCGCCCTGCGGCCTGGTCCTCACACACCAGCGGGCCTCCGGAATCACCCTGGGTCGGAAAGTCGCAACTCAGCGCCGTGGGCCTGGGATTTGTGCCTGTTGACCTCAGGGAAGGGCGCTAACCCAGCTAAGGACTCACCTGGCACGCATCGGTGCCGCCCTCGAGGAACCCTGCGCAGAGCATGCCGGGGAGGATGGAGGCTCCGTGCACGTCCGGGGCTGAGCAGCGCTCCAGGGAGAGGAAGGGCACCTGCGCCTCCTGCAGGAAGCTGGAATATTCCTCCGCCCCTGCGAACACAGAGCGCCTTCCTCACACCCCACCAGACAACACTCGTGTCCGGACGATGGACGAGCCTGCGGCAGGCTCTTCTAAACCCACTCTTGCCCTTTCCCTCCCCAAGGGGGAGGAGGTGCCATTAATTCAATTTCATAGACAAGGAAACTGAGGTCCAGGGAAGAGCCAGGATTTGAATGGGCGGGAGCGGAAGCAGAAACCCCACCCCCACCTCCTATCCAGAGTCACAGAACCTGGCTACCAAACTGACCCGGAACGCGGGGCCAGCGTCCTCGTTGGCCTTTGCAGCCCGGCGCCCAGAGAGAAACAAGAGCAAGTTCGATTCTCCCTGTATCCCCAGGAGATTTGGGGATCCCAGCAGTGAATCGCAGGCCCTGGGAGGCCCTGCACATTCTCACAGGTTAGCGCCACCTCTCCTGTAGACACCCGGGACGATACCAAAGTCAAAGTCGCGGGCTTCTCCCGCCTAACCCAGTGATCAAAGATCTCCTCCCCTAGCAGTTGTGCCTACCCTCGAATTGGTGGCCCCAACCGGCCACCTCGCAGACCGCGGGCTCGGGCTGGGAGGGTCGCGTGGCGCTGCTTGGCAGGCACACCGGCTGAACGTAAGGCGACAGGAGCGCGCAGCTGCCGTCCGCATCCTCCTGCAGGCGCAGCAGAGCTAACCCGGGCGTAGAGGAGTGTGATGCGGAGATGCCGGGGCCCCACCCTCCCTCCCCATCCACGCAGGGCGCCCCCACGCACCCAGGTCGTGCTGGTAGTTGACGGGCGAGAAGGCCTCGTGCAGGCGGTAGGAGCGTACGGCCAGCGTCTGGCACTGTTCACAGCTGTGGTTATGGCGGTCCTGGCCGAGCACCACCGTCAGCTCCTCGGGTGCTGGCCTGCGGGCGGGTAGGGGAGAGGCAGCGCGCTCAGAACTGGCCACAAGTGTTTTGGGGAAGCCCCCTGCTCCCGAACCCCATCCTGTGTTCCAGCTTCCTCCCGGGGAGCTCCAGAGGGGCGTGGAAAGAAGGGTGGGGCGGGAAAAGGTGGGGCACAGGTTCAAGTGCGGCGCGGAAGCCGCGCTGGGAGACTGAGGAGCCGCGGCCTTTCGGGCGGCGCTGGGCTGGCGGGTACTCGCCGGTTCTGCAGGCAGTGAGCGGCCGTCAGCACCCAGCAGGGGGCGATGAGGCTGCCGGCGCAGAAACTGTGGCCCCAGTACAGCGCTGCGATGTAGGGGTGCGCCCCGGGCAGCGCCACCAGCCCGCCGACGATGCGTCTCAACGAGGACAGACGCTTGCGGAGCCGCTGTCCGCAACTCAGTGAGCCGTTCCTGGTCAGGGGAGGCGGCTGCTTCCGCCTCGTAGGCGAGGCTGTGGAGGAGCCGGGGCTGAGGACTAGGAGCCGGTAGACCGGAATCCAGCTCGCCCCGCGCCCTCTCGGCTGCTCCTTTCCCCCACTTCCTAACCTCCTGGAGTCTGGGACAGAGGCGGGGTCCGGGACGTGGGCTGAGGTTTTGGCAATGTCAGCTGCGTGGGCATGGACGACTCATTAAACCTAGGGGGCATCCGGGTCGGAGGCGCCTGGCACTGTGCCAGGTCGCAGTACTCCCAGCTCAGCCGGTCACCGCTCAGCACGAAGCACCACGGGCGGACGTCGTTGTCCGGGTTCCTGTACCACACAAGGGGTCGCAGTTAGAGCGCCGGGAGCCCGGGGCCTTGGGGCTGAGGGGTCGTCCAGTCCCACGCGGCGCACCGGCAGAAGGCGTGGCCGCTCAGTCCCCAGTTCCGCGCTTGCTCAGCAGTCACGTTCCGGTAGGTGGCCTCCGAGGCCCAAGGCTGACAGGGCATACCGGAGAGAGTGGTCCTGGCCAGGCCGCGGTAGCTGAGCCCGCGGCCATCATAGCAGCTCGCCTTGGTATCTGAGGGGAGAGGGGGCTCCCTGCAGCCAGGGCTGGGCTCTCCCACCGCCCTCTCATCTGCTTTCCCCACTCTTCTTTCTCGTTCCTGGCAAGTCCTTCCCATCTTGGGGCTGACCTTCTGCTTTCCCCAGACCCTCACTCACCCACATCGCAGAAGGGTCCGGTGTAGCCCACCAGGCAGTGGCACAGACGGTGGCCCTCTGCCTCTAGGCAGCGACCCCCATGGAGGCACGGGTTGTCGCGGCAGGCTGGGGGAGGGAACACAGTGAGCCACCCCTGGGCCTACAGATCCTCCAGAGAGCTCTCCTTCCTGGCACACCACCCAGCCTCCTGCCAGCGTCTCCTCCTGATCCTCCTCCCTGGCCCATTCCCAACCATCTGCTCACCCTGGCTGGCCAGCTGCTGGCAGTGGGCATCAGGACCCTTGCACCGGCATCTGGCCACACCTGCTTGCTCAGATCTGTACCATATCTCATTCTGGTGGAAAAACCGGAGAAGCTGAGGCTCAAAGCACTTCTCTGGGGACAAAGAGGGGGACAGTGGTCTCAGGAGAGTCTAGGACTGCCAAGTCTCTGGGGTATCCAGGGACCTCTTCTGTAGACCCAGGGTTGCCCCTATCCCCAAGCACCCCTGCCCGGGTTCTCGGCATCTCCTCACCTCTCTGGCAGTGGTTTCCAGTGAGGTGTTGCGGACAGAGGCAGTGGGGACCCCTTGGCGTGTTCACACAGGTCCCTTGTTTCTGGCAGGGGCTGTGTTTGCTGCAGTGGTCTGAGAGATGGACACGGTGGGAGGAGGAGCAGGGAGCAGAGTCAGACAGATGGGTGCCAAGGTCCTACTTGAACCTACCTGCCTTGTGACCTTGCTACTCCAAGTTTCCAGGGCTTAGTTTACCCACTTGCAAAAATGGGACCACTCCTTCCCAGAACTCT